GGCTCCTAGCAATTGCATGCTTTGGGGAAGGAGCCGGGCGACCTGCAAGCAGGCAGCCGCTGGGCATGAAGTGAGCGGCAGCAGCTGGACAGCACAAATTGAGCAGCGGCAGGAGGGACGCAGGGCCTTGATTTGTTGCTTATCAAGGCCGTGTTCAATTCGTGCTGCCCAGCGTCTCTTGTTCCGCCACCACTCAGGCCCCTTTTTCGCCGCTGGAAGCATGCTGCATTAGCTGGCACCACAGCGGGAGGTCCCACGGCAACGCCGACAGTCTGGGCCATGCACCACCGGCGTCTCTGGTCCTGAGCTGTGGGCTGCAGGAAATATCTGGACCCGAGTTGTTCGCTGCAAGGACGCCCTGCCTACGGCAGCGCCACCAAACCGCCTTCTTTGCCGCTGGTGTCCCCGGGCTGGAGCAGTGAAAGCTGGTCCAGCTGGTCGTCAGGGTGCGTAACTGGGCCATGGATGGCAGGCCTTGCTTACCGGCAACGGTGGAGGCTTCCACGCCAACCGGTAGGTCTTCTGTGCCGCTCCGCTTGGACCGCCGGCTTCTGGCTGCGGGGCTGCCTCCCTCTGGAGCTGTCTTTCCTCCCCTCCCATCTATGTCAAGCCCATGGGCAGATGGCGTCCCACAAACCAAAGAAGTTGAACCGATCAATTCAAACTTCAGAGGTTTTTTTATGAGAAGTTTGAATTGATTGGTTCAACTTTTTTAGTTTCACTTTTTTTTTTTTTTGCACTGCACATGGCTGGGAGCTGCAGGAAACGGCTGAAAGAGCTGCATGTGGCTCTGGAGGCATGGGTTGCCAACCCATGGGCTAATCTAAAGAAAAGAAGAAATAGGGGAGACATGATAGCAGTATTCCAGTATCTGAGGGGCTGTCACAAGGAAGAGGAGGTCACTTTGTTCACCAGAGCACCAGAGGGAAGGATGAGAAACAATGGTTGGAAACTGATCAAAGAGAGAAGCAACCTGGAATTAAGGAGAAACTTCCTGACAATGAGGACAATCAACCAGTGGAACACCTTGCCTCCAGAAATCATGGGCGCTCCATCACTGGAGATTTTTAAAAAGAGACTAGACAATCACCTGTCTGAGATGGTATCGGTTCTCCTGCTTGAGCAGGGGGCTGGACTAGAAGACCTCCAAGGTCTATTCCAGCTTCTATTCCATTCCACTCCATTCCATTCATCCTGTGGCTATGCTGGCTAGCGATGGAATGCCTTATTTTTTCTGCAGTATGCACCTAGGAGGCAGTAGGTCTGTGGGGTTTAGATGTATTTAAATATTTGTTTCTTCTGCCTAATTTATTAAATCAATGTCTAATTTGAAATTAAATGTTTCAGAGAAATCCAGGGTGGTTTACAAGAAAGCTCTCAAAGACAGCTATTGTAAAGCATCACCAGCACTGCTTAAAACAATATTAAAAGTGTGTATTTTAAGAAATAAAAATATTAGTAGTAATTTACTTAGTGCTGTTTGACCATAAAATGTTTGTTGTTCTACATATGCCTGGCTGAACAGTGTGTTTGGAGTTGCCTCTAAAAGGGTGAGGGATGCACTGTTCATATTTTTCTTTGGAGAAAGTTCTATAATTGGGGTGCTGTCTCTGGGAAGGCTCTGCTCGTGGCTACTGTTCTATAAACCAAACCAGAGGGACCATCTGGTCTAAATGGATGGCAAACAAAGATGATTAGGGGGCTGGAGGCTAAAACAGTGATGGTGAACCTTTTAGAGACCGAGTGCCCAAAAACTGGCCCTGCCCCCGCTCCATCCCCTGCCCCGCCCCTGCTCCGCCCCTCATTCCCCGCTCCGCCTGCCCACAGGGCCACTCACCGCCTCCAGGGCCCACCGCAGATCGCCCAGGCAGCCCAGCAACACTATGGCGGTCAAGCCCTCTGCCCATGCCCTGCAGCATCAATTGTGCGTGAGGGCAGAGTCTTGTCTACACTGCCTGGCTGCCATGTCCTTGGCTGCGCTGCTCCGGGTGGGCCACACTCAGGGGTGACTCTCCTTCAGAGGGGCTGCTGGAGAGGAGGGGGTTGCGGGGGGGAGGCGAGGCTGGGGCAATGGCACATGTGCCCACAGAGAGGGCTCCAAGGGCCGCCTCTGGCACCTGTGCCATAGGTTTGCCACCACTGGGCTAAAACATATGACAAATGTTTGTGGGAATTGGGTATGTCTATCTTAGTGAAAAGGACTAGGGCTAGTGACATAATAGCAGTGTTCCTATATTTAATGGGCTGCAACAGAGAAGAAGGGGTCAACCTATTTTCCAAAGCATCAGAAGGCAATAACAGATGTAAACTAATCAAGAAGAAAACCAGCTTTGAACTAAGGACTTGTGAAAACAACTAACCAGTGAAAAGGCTTGCCTTCAGAAGTTGTGAATGTTCCATCACTGGAGGCTTTTAAGAAGAGATTGGATATTCCATTGTTTGGAATGGTATAGGTCCCCTGCTTGAGCAGGAGGTTTGACTAGAAGTTCTCAAAGGTCTCTTCCAATTCTGTCATTCTTTGAGAGAAGCGCTGCCAACTTTTCCCCCTCCCCTCGTCCCTTCCTGAGCACAGAGACAGAGAGGGAGGGAAGGAAGGAGGGGAGGGAAACAGGAAGAAAGAAAAGGAAGGAAGGAAGGAAATGGGAATGAAAAGGAGGGAGGCAGGGGAGGAAGGAAGGAGGGAGGGAGGGAGGGAGATTGGAATGAGTGGGAGGGAGGGCCTGAGGGAAGTCCTACCTTACCACCTGGCCACCAGCAGCCCTGTTGCCCTTTCACCATCCCCTGATGGCCTCCCATCCTATTGCTGAGGATGCAAGGGTTACAAAGCCAGGTCTCCTCACATGGAGAGGAAGTGGGCCTCCCTCTTACCCATGCTTTGCTCTCCTGCACCCACCATGAGCAACCTGGCCAAGGAGAGCAAGCACAGCAGCAGCAGCCTTGAGGAGGAGGTAAGGGCAGCTGGGTGCCCCCTCAGGGAAGTGCAGCTGGGCTAGGCAGGGCTGTGGGGTCCCGGTGCTGTGGAAGCTCAAGGGCTGGGCTGAGCGCTTGACCTCCACTGCCCAGGGCCCCGGGCAGTCCATGCCACTGTCCAGGCCCCCCCGTGCACAGCCTGAGAGGGACAGTGAGGCTCCTCAAGTGAACAATGCCCTGACACTCGCCCCAGTCCCACCCTCCCTCCGCCGGAGACCCTCGGATCCGCCCCAGGCCTGCACAGGCACTCCTGACACAAGTGACATTGAGATGACTACGCACACCCAGTAGGCCACGCCCATGCCAGCCACACCCACCTAGTAGGCTGCACCCACCCCAGCCGCACCCACCTGGCCCCCCAAGGGCAACCACAATGCTGATGTGGCCCTCAGTGAAATTGGGTTTAACACGTCTGCCCTAGCTACATCCTTATATTGTGAAAAATGCTAACCAGTCATTCAAATGCCCTAGGCAAGTATGTTTCATATATGTGTATCTCTTTTAGCTTTTGGTTTTGCTGCACTGCTACCATCTTTCAGACAAACAATTTGCTATCAATTATCTTTATTCCAAAGTTGAATTTTATAAGCCAGTTTAATTAATGTAAAATCCTTTCCACGACATAGCCTTCAAAACATGTACATTCCAAATAGCTGTGCCTACACAACACTAACATATCTTATCTTCAGCCATAATATTAGCAAAATGCTGTCTGGCAAAGCTGTTCCGAACGATGAATGACCAGGTAAACTGGCTCTTTGCTAAACTATAGGTCATTCTTTGCTCTCTATAATATATTTGTCACCCACACTCAGGCCAGATCATTCATTATTTAAATAAACTTTGTTACACATTCAGAGTTCCCAGTACCAAGCCATCTAGCTATAATTTTTGAATTCAGGTTATCCTTCAGTATAAAACAATACTAGGAGGAATACAATCATTCCACATCTGTTTGGCAGATGCTATATTATATGTCAAGCACAGTCAGAGCTACCTTTTTTCAGAATTAGTTTATTAGGTTGTTATATATTCTTAGGATTTGCTGTGGCATTTGAATTTTGACACTGGCATCCACTGCTTTACATTTTTCACTGTAAATATTTACCATGTGTCTACAAAATGCAGGCCATTTTATCAACCATCAGTTTCCTGGAATTTAGTTTTGTTTCATTTTACCTAATAAATTTAAGATAATTACCTTATTGAATCTCTTATATTTTTATTCACAATTTTTGAACAAAAATATTTTTAATATGGTAAAGTGGCTGTCATTAAAATTGATGCTTTAAATGTGTTTAAAAAATGAATCATTATTTTTACAAGATGAATTGCCAAAACTATTGAGCTCATATCCATTTAACTTCTCTATTTATGAGGCCATAGAAAAAGATTGCTGGTGGCTGCCACCCTTTTTCAGTTCCTTTCCAAACTAGAAGATCATCCAAAAGCATATTTTGTTTAATTTGACATTTTGGCAGGAGTTTTGGCATTTATATTATATTTGAATAACTATAGTGTCTCTTTGAATCACTAATCTGTCAGATTGTATTTATGGAATGTTTGGTTCAGACTTGATCATGAACAGCTTTGGTCTAATGGACATGACTGAATTGGTCTAAAATGATTGGATTAATTTCAGATGGATAAAGATGTACTATAATGTCTTAATATGCAATAATAATTTGATAGATATTGAATAATTAGAAAATACTAATCTTCTAAAACAGATCATTTTAGAGTGTTACATTGAACTATAAATTGAACTTTCAGAAGAGAATAAATAGTGTAGCTTTTGCACAAATACTTAATGGTGCTTGATAATCTGCAAATAATAATGTATTTAGTCTCCACATATGGAAGATTGTATGAGCAAAAATACTTTATGATTAGCATGTTTATTAGAAATATCAGATGACTGTTGAATTTATCAAAGTTTTCATAAATTATGTTTGATTTAAATTTTATATGACTGACAATTTAAATACATTTATTTAAATTGATAAAAGCTGAAATATTTTGTTGTTTAGGCATGCACAGGATAATAGCTTTGTAAAACTTCAGAATGCTCAAGCATACAAATACCAGAAATCACCAAGATTCCCAAGTCAGCCTTTCAGAAAATTTATTAAGAAACCATACACGGTAAGTTATTAGAAATTAGTTATGTACTTTCACAATTCCATTTATTTTGACCGAGCTTTCATTGTGACGTTTTTGTTGTAGCTTTGTTTGTATTAACTATTATACATTGCCTAGATTCCTATAATCTTAGGGCAAATTATAAATACAATTAAATAAAACTTTTTTAGTTTATCATTTAATAATGGGTTATCTTTAAAGCAAGAGGCAAAGACTCTTTTCGCTTTAGAGAGTTTGAAAAAAAATGCAGAAGTTTAAGTTACTTGCACATTGTGTCACAGAGCAAAAAAAATATTGAGTTTTTTCCATTTTTTTCTGGGACAATATGTGAACAGCTCAAAAATAGCTACAAAAAGTGAACTTGATAAGATTTTATACAGAAAATACAGAATTAGTTGCATTGCATATCTTTCCTTCTACCAAAAAACCTTCAAATTGTGTGTCACATTTTGAAATAATTCACACCCTAAAAAGAGTTGTTACAGAGTAAATTGGGTTAGATTATAGATTTTATTATTTTTAATTTCAAACAGAACTTAATAAGGCAGAAAGGCATAATATTTGTAGATGAAGAATCTATAGACATAGACTGGAAAGGCAGTGTAGGATTATGGAAAGAGAAGCAGAGAGAGTAGGAGAAATTTTTTAAAATGGTTTGGCTGTTTTCACTCAGTCAGCTAGAGAAACAAGCTAAATTAGCAGTTCTAGCGACTTTTTCTATTTGGCTCAATAAAAGGAAGGTTCTATCAGGTTTTAGAAAGTGAAATACAGTGATTCCTTGAAAAAAACTGTTGACAAGAATGAAACTCATGATTGCAGCCACATTTGTTTGTTCCTAATAGTCCTCTTTTCTTGCACCTATAATAAGCTCTTCCTCTTAATAACAGTAAACATGATTATCCTTGCCAACAAGAATTTTTTTCCCTTATGAATTTCCAAATCTATTATATAGAACAGGGCTTTTCAATTGGTGGTACGCGTACCACCGATGGTACATTGACACCTGGCAGGTGGTACGTGACCATTCTAGAGAAGTGGTAAAGGGCGAAGGGAATGAGCTGAACTGGTGGCAGCACCGCACAAGCCTGAGTGAGAGACCTCTGGAGCTGCAGGGCTGTCAGGGCTCAGCAGAAGCACCAGGATCAGTGCCGCTTTCCAGTTGATTGGCGCTTCTGGACTCAGCAGAAGCACCAGGATCAATGCCACTTTCCAGCTGATCAGTGCTTTTTTGGGGCTGTCAGGGTAGGATCAGCGCCGGGCTCCAACTGGAGCTCGGTGCTGAATCTGGCACTTCTGCTGAGCCCCAAAGAAATGCCAGTCAGCTGGAGCCTGGCGCTGATCCTGGAACGTCTGCTCAGCCCAGAAGAAGTGCCGATCAGATGGACAGATCCCGCCCCCCAAAACAAACATGCTTTGTGGGTAACCTCCCAGCATGACAGAAGTGACCAAAACCTGTTGCATCCACCCAGCAGACAGGCAGGAGGAATAAAAAACCAAACACCCCCCACCACTGCCTATCCTCAACAGCAATGCTCACAACACCGAAAACCTAGGACAGGAGGAAGAGAGTGGCCGGGCGGGCAGGCAGGTGTCTTGCTCGATTATGACTTGGGGGGGAGAGGGCAGCTTCACCCCCCCCCCAAACTCTGTCCTCACAAAAGCAGAATGAAAACTCCAAAAAACGACAAGGGAAAAAGGTTAAAACAGAAGAGTGTCTTGTGATGGTTTGCTTCCCTACTTCCTTCTAGTAATTTAAATATGTAAAGACCGCAAAAGAAAAAAACTTGGCTTTCTTTCATTATAATTCAGAAGGGAGGAACTGGAGGATTTGGGGGGGGGTTGTTTCAAAGGAAGGGAAAGAAGGGATTCAAGTCTGTGGGGGGCGCAGCAAGTGAATGGTGATGGCACATGATTTCTGGTGTTGGGAGGGGTGGTCTTTTTAAAAGAGCAAAAGGAGGCAAAAAATAAAAATCCCTCACTCCACCCCCAAGAGCTAGATGCGGATGTGATCTTTTTTTTTTTTTCTTGTTCAGAAGAGACACTCTTCTGTTTTAATCTTTTTTTCTGGTTGTTTTTCGGAGTTTTCATCCTGCTTTTCTGAGAGGGCAGCATTTGGGGAATGTGAAGCTGCCCCCTTTCCCCCCCAAGCTACCAGCTGAGCAAGACGCCCGCCTGCCTGTGCTCTTCCCCCTGTCTGAGGTTTTCATTGTCGTGAGCATTTCTGTTGAGAATTGGCAGGGGGGCTGTTTGGTTTTTATCCCCCTCCCCATCTGCTGGGTGGTTGCAGCAGGTTTTGGTCACTTCTGTCGTGCTGGGTGGTTACCCATAAAGCATGTTTATTTTTGTGGGGGGATCCCAACTCCGGTTGCTAAACTTGCTTAAATCCTCTTCCTCCACCTCTTCCTCACTGGAGCCCCCCTTTATCTGCAACAGTGCAGCAGGAAGAGCCCTGTTGAGCTGGGGATAATGGGGATCTGTCCTCTGCGGAGTAGGGGCAGGGTTACTATGCTCCCTGTCAATCAGGTTTGATTTCCTTTTTTTCTCCCCCCCTCCCTCCGTGCTTCCCTGTTTACAGCTGCCTCTGAGCCCCTCATTTTTGGGAGTTAGCATTGCCGGCATCTCTTTTTCCTGAGCCCCTCGTGCTGGGTAACTGTTGCCACCCAAGAGCTGTTTTAAAGTTAGGGAATCTTTGGGGGATAGCCAACTAGCACCCCAACACCCCCCATGCCTCCACTTCAAGTGCAGAAGCCGCATCCCCCTCCAAAGCCCCTGCAATCACCTATCAGCTTCTTTGTCAATCAGAAGGAGAGAAGGGGGTAGAACAGTGCAAAGATTAATGTCAGAGAAACAGGCACAAGTTTCCCAGTAAAAGTGTGGTAAGTGGTTGTACAGATAGTCCTCAGCCTACAACCACAATTGAGCCCAAAATTTATGTTGCTAAGTGAGAAATTTGTTAAATGAGTTATGTCCCATTTTATGACTTTTCTTGCCACATTTGTTAAGTGAATCGCTGCAGTTGTTAAATTAGCCACACAGTTGTTAAGCGAATCTGGCTTCCCCCATGAACTTCGCTTGTCAGAAGGTCGCACAACGGAATCACGTGACCCTGGGACACTGTGACTGTCATAAATATGAATCAGTTGCCAAGCATCATTCCCCACCCCCGATTGAAAGCCACCGGTTGAAAAGCTCTGCCGTAGGATATTAGTTAGCCCTGTTATTCTCCATGATTTTCTGTGGAATCTCCCAGTTGTGATTGGGAAGGTCTGGTATATCTATTGTGCAGATGTATCTGTACTCTATGCCAGCTACTTAATTGTGCCATTCAATTTATCCTGTTCCTGCCTGCTTCTATACCCCGCCACAATAAATTGGATTGAGACCTGTTTGCACCACGGGTCCTGTGTAGTGTGTGTTTGAGTGCCTTCTTACTGTTATATTCCCAGAGTTGTGAGTGCTTCAACACTGGAGCTTTTCAAGAAAGGAGTGGACAACCACCTGTCTGGGATGGAATAAGAATTCCTGCCTTGGGAAAGGGGGTTGTGTACAAATTCTGCAGATTAAGAGGTTGTACAGTCCCAAGATAGATGGAAGGAGAGGGAAGAGGTTCAGTATAGCCATACCCTAGAACAGTGATGGCGAACCTTTTAGAGACTGAGTGCCCAAACTGTAACCCAAAACCCACCTATGCATCATCGAGTGCCGGGTGGGTGTGGCCCATTGGGTGGGCATGGCTGCGGTGGTAATGGCAGACTGGGTGGGACTAAAAAGTTCAATCAATCAATTCCAACTTTGCAAGATCCTTTTTTTTCCCGCGAGAAGTTGAAATTGACTGATATGAGCCTTTTTTTTTTTTGCACACAGCAGCGGAGGCCTAAAGCAAAAAGGTTTTATAAAACCCAGCTGAAGGGCTAGGACTGGGGCGACAGCGCGCATGCCCACAGAGAGGGCTCTTAGTGCCAGCTCTGGCACCCGTGCCATAGATTCGCCACCACTGCCCTAGAATCTCAGGATATATCTAGTAGGTTCAAAGTTTATAATTTTAGTTTGGCAAGATTCTGTCCATTAGGTATAAGCAAATAAAGGATTGGACTTGGTTGGATTTTGCTGTGTCGTCTTTGGGTTTAAGCGTGACAGATACCAAACCACTCTGCTATGTGGTCTCCTGGGAGCTCAACCCCTCTCTCTTAACTGTCTCTCTCTCTCGCTCTCTCTTAGACTACATCTTGATGTCATCCATGTAGAGGAGGTAGCTGATGGAGTTCTACTCTTGAATTTGTATCCATATCCACTCCTTGTGATTATCTGGCTGAGTGGGTTTAAGTGTATACAGAATAGTAGTGGGGACAGTGTTATATATGGTATATGCTGCACTTGATGACAACTTGTGTGAGATGTCTTGAGTTGAATCCCAGTGTTGTTTTCTACGGTTAAATTGAGTTCTTGAGAAAGATCCTTAGTGTCCTATTGCCTTTGCATAGTGCCGAGCATTCACAGATCCATGTCTGTGTGCAATGAGTTGCAAGTTTTCCGGTAGTCAATCCAAGTTGTATCAGATTGGCCTGTCTTGACCAGGCATGTCCAACCTGCTGCCACTGGTTGCATGTGGTCCCGGACAGATAGTAATGCAACTTCACAAGATCGTAAACTTTTAGCATTATTATATGATTTTATATTATAAAACTGTGTTATATATTTTATATGTGGCCCAAGACAATTCCTCTTCACTGAGTGCAGTCCAGGCTAGACCTTAAGTCTTGAGCAACTGCTCTATCTTATGAGCAATTGGTGTTTTGAGCCTCTGGTGTTGTTCCCAATTCCCTTCTGAGCTGTGCTGATATACTGGCTCTTTTGGTCCTGTAGCTTAATGGCCATAATGCCTGATAGGACTTCTTGTAGAAAGTTGTAGGGAGGCAGGTTATTGACTGATAGTTGGCTAGTGCTGTTCCCTTATGGGAGGTTTTCATGATCAGTACTATCCTTGCCTGAGTTAGTCACTCTGGGTGGGAGCTTGCTGCTGGCAGCTAGTTCATCTGTGCTGCTAGACATTTATCCACTGCTTTAGTTTCTTTAGCCAGTAAGTCTGGATTATGTCTGGGCTGAGTGCTATTCAGCTCTAGTTCAACAGTAGCAGACACTGTTGAGTGTCTGCTACTGTGATGATGACTGTGACTGTTCTGGGAGATTATTATGGTCTGCTCTCAGGTCCTGCGGCCCTTTGCACTGATATTATGTGTCTGCTCTTTCTCCCATATGTCCTTCCAGTACAGTTCAGTCTCTGCTATTGGTGGCTCTTGTGTTATTGTGTTATTCCACTGCAATTGGGAATGCCCTTTGGATAGTTCTTTGGAAAAAAAGGCATTTATCTTCTTGGTCTCTGCTTCTCTGATTTATCTCCTTAGCCTGGTAAGCAGTGCTATGAGCCTTTGTTTAGTAGTTTCAAGGCCTTCAGATGGAGTCAGGCCCTTGTATTTTTTCAGTAGTCGAGTTTTATCCTTAATCTTTACACCTTTCTATAATTCCACCAACTGACTAACCTCTTTCCAAGTTGTCTTGATATTAACTTCTAACCTTATTTTCGGGGGTGGGGGTGTACTGCTTCTGATTGTGTAGCCTGTACCAGTTCATTGGTTTGAGTTATGCGGTAGTAGGGATTTCATGATTCTTTTGGAATCTTCTAGCATACTATCTGATGGTACTCCTCCCCTGGTAACTCACCTTGAGGGTTGGTTGTAGCTAGTTTATCAATGATCTTATATCTCATATCACCTACTGTGCTCTGTAACAGAGGCAGTGGCAGTGACGTTCCAGTTTCAGGTGTGGCTGCACATCCAGTTGTTCTTCTGAGTCTCTTTCTCCCCCTTTTATTGCTTTTGTTACGGAAGAAAAATAAGCATTCTTTATGTTGGATTTGCAGGGCTTATAATTTGAAAAACCTAAATATTCAATAAATCATTGCAATTTTCTTTTAATATAGAGCCATTATACTGAAAATTCACATGATGATATTGCAACCAATCGATTTAAAAGACCAATTGAAAATCCTGAAACAGTTCAAAGACCCATCAAGGTATAAATTTAATTTTACTGAATTGTACTGGATCAGTAGAATTACTTTTCTCTTTACAATATAGTTACACAGTTTAGTATTAACACAGACTATAGAAGGTCATTATAACTAGAATAACTGAATGAACTATATTTTCTAAAACATTCAGTTTCCTCCAGTAAGAAAAGTGCTATGGTCCTTGGAAAATATTCCTGTTGCAGAAGCACTTTGTTTAAAAAATAAATATGCCTTGTATCTCCTACTATCTGCTGTGAGTTGTAATGCATGAATCTAGTGAGTTTCTATTCACAATAGGAAAATAGATATCTAATTAAAACTGGAACAAGTTTCTTTTAAAATTCAAAACTGAATCATTAAGATAGAGTCATTAAGCAACATAAAATTGTTCTGAGACTCTTATGCTGTCTCTCAAAATAAACATAATTTAAATAAGCTATTACATTGTCCTTTGTCTAATGGAAATTATTGTCAATTTAAAGATACACTGGTTTATGTAAATCTAAGTTTATTCCTTAGATCAGGGGTCCCCAACACCTGGTCCATGGACTGGTACCGGGCCACAGCATGCCAGCAACCAGTCCACATAAACAAGCAAAGCCCCATCCAAGGATTGCAGACAGCACACAAAACCACGCCCCCTTCGCTCTGCGGAAAAACCTCTCCACAGAACCGATCCCTGCTGCCCAAAAGGGTGGGGACCTCTGCCTTAGATTGTGGAGAATGGGGATGAAAAAAGATATTTTGGACCTTTCAGATATTTGCATAATATTTGTTAGTTTGTTTATTAAATTTATGTAACTGTCCATTCGGTGCTACAACTCTGGACAGCCTGCAGCAATGGAAAAGCAAGTTTGACCGATTAAAATAAAAAAACTGTTATAATATAGGGTTTAGTTGGCATATAGGAGGATATATAAAAAATTATTCATCAGAAATATTGAATCTCTTAAAACTATTACGACTGTACAATCATTCTTAACTATTGCTTTTGCAGTAAAAAATACAGAACCTTTTAAATTCTAATGATTTATTTAAAGTTATTTAGAAATTTTATGCACATGCATTTTCAGAGAAAAGCTTCATTTTTTAATCATCTTTTTCACAGATCAGAACTTTCTCATGAGAGGGAAATCTGCAATAAGGATTGCCAATATTAATTAGTAGTAATGGAGGTTGTAGGAATTAAAGTATGTTACTCCATATGCTGAGGCATTGTTCTACATTAGAAGAGTTCTTATAAGTTTGAGGTCTGTGTAGCTTCCCTTGTTATTTATCAGGCTTTTTGTCCTTTCTGACTTTTTTAATTTTTATTTTTAAAGAGAAAGCATGTTACAAATTATTTCGCTGCAATGCCAGAAACTTTCTTTTTAAGAATACCTTAAAAAGGTATTCTTTAAACACTAAATATAATGGGTGGCTGCAGTTCACTGGTTTGTTTGGAAATGTGCCTACTTCCCCAAATGGATGAAGATACGCAAAAGTACTAAGGAATTTCATACAGGAGAGATGGCAGTAGTACTTGATAAAATTATAATTTGTTATGTCTCCTAAGGTAGATGTTTTATAAATAGGCAAAAATGAACCTACTCAAGCAGTTGTTTTGTCATAATATCTACATCATATTCTTTCAGTATTCAGACTGCTATCCTGTAATGTAAGCCCTTCAGATTTCTTGTTTACCTTCTGACAAATCTTCCCTCTTCGAGGGAAATGGGTAGTCTAGAAATATGAAATAGAAATAAATAAATAAAACTTTTGAAGCCTTTGCAAGGAGACTTTTATATATGCACTAGTGTCTATGAAACTCTCTAAACATATGTGTGACAAACCAATATTTTCTCAAATTTTAATGATATTTAACAACAACAGCTATCTTCAGATGTGTTGTAAATAGTATTTTTAGATGGTATTTAATGTTAGCCTATAATATCTGAACCTTTTAAATTTGGTGATGGAAAATTGGATTGATGGAGCTAAAGGGGTAGTAGATAAACCAACAAGAAACAAAAATTAGGAAAGTTAGCAGATGATAATGGTTGGAAAACATTAGGATGTTGAGAAGAGGCCAACCTAGTTTAGCTAAATCATGTTCTATAATTATCATAATTATACTATATTTCCTAAATAATCAGTAATAAGACCAGCTAATCCTACATATTCTTGAAAATTAACGGCAATATTATACTTCTGAACTTCATTTTGTGTATTATGATTTCAAATCATAAGACACAAAGTTTCATAAAATCTGTTTATTGTTAATGGGGTGGGGAGGCTGTGAGCACTCAGTCAAAGCCCCATTTTATGTGTGTTATGCTACACACAAAAGGGAAAGCTATCTCCCCTCCTGACCTTGATGTTTTCTTGAATAATGTTTCTCTATAGTATTCTAGCTAATGGGGTTTGGGGATATTTTTTTAAAAACGTTTTGCTCTTTTTCCTAGAATATGGGCATTTTTCTTCAAAGTCATAATGTGCGTGTATATATACACACACAGATAAATGCATACACAAATAAAATTTATACTTAAAGTTCTTGATTCTTCTATTAAGGATTATTTAGCTAAGATTATGAAAACTATTACATGATTATTATTTTTTCTCAACAGTGCAGATTTATTGATGGGCGCCCCCACTTCAGATCAAATTTAGTACAAAAGGGATTGTACATACAGGCTAAATATCAGCGGTTACGTTATGCTGGAGCAAGAGGAGTTACGACTTATAAAATCAGAGAAGAACTTTTGAGAAAACAGCAGGTAAATGAATTATTTTGGGTCAAAGTTTGAATGGTTGCCAAGAAAAATATAATTATGGTTAATGACAAGAATTCTACAAATAGATAACAAAATGAATTCTAAATACAAATGACTATAGATGACAACTATACCTTCACTGCAATCAAATCATGGCAAGTTCTACAACAATTATAATAAAACAGTTGTCATTATCTTGATAAATATAAAAGATAGAAATTGAAAGGCTTTAAAAATATATTTGATTGATTTTTAACACAATCACCTTAATATTTGGTAAACAGTGTGTTGTCTGAGTTAGTATTTAAAAATAATAACAATTAATTTCTATAATATAGTCCATATAATGGCTTTGCTTGATTTTCTCTTCTTCCAATAATATTCTCTTTTGCCAACCTTAAATTAATACAGTTCTTATTATTTGAATAAATGACAAATTTATTTTTCTCATGCTTCTGCAAATAATAACCACATCAATATAAAGCTTCTTTTCTAATTGCCTCATCATAGATCCTGTTTACAGAATTCTTATTTAAATTTGTTTCCCCACAATATTCAAAGCATTCTTACTGGCTAAGATTTTCTCAAAATTAGTTACACTTAAGTATTTAAGTCTTTTTTCTCATACAAGCTATCCCAACACTTTTACATTTCTCATATCTTAAAAAAAGAGAAAACAATTCTTTTATATAAATATCCCAACATTTTTATATTTCTTATGTCAAAAAACAAAACACAAAGGAAAAAAGAAAGAAAAAATACTGTTACTTGAGGGGTTCATCCCTCTTATACTAATCTTCATTTATATCCAAAATCTTTCTATTTCTTTAGCCATATTCAAACAGATGCTTAATTTTTAAATATTCCCTCTGGTAAATCCCATCATCTAATTTCTTAATTATCACTTCAGCCCCCCCCCCTTTTTTTTTTTTTGCCAAACATCTTTCCTGATCAATACGTTTCGCTGAATCAAAGAATCTTTCCATAATCTTAAAAGTGTTGTTGCAGGTACAAAAGGCAAAACAGGTAAGATGTTTTTATAGGAAGGTTTCACCCCTTCATATTCACTGAGAATCTTTTCTTTTTTTCTTTTTCTTTCTTTCCTTCCTTCCTTCCTTTTCTTTTTATTTCTTTTCTTTCTTAATTTTATTTATCATTTTTTGTCTCTCACGTTCTTGTAATTCTCCTGGCAGAGTCCATTTTGTCAAATCTTTTTTCTTGTCCTCAAACTTATTTTGTAATCTTAGGGTATAGGTTACATGTCCAGTATTTCCTGTAAGTTTTTCCCCCTTCTGGGTTAAGTCATATTTCTTCTATTGTTAAGTTCCATCTTGAAATCTCTCTCCTCTGTCTCGTATTCAGTTGTCTGTTTTTTTCTGCTTACTCTCTGTTTTTATTTTCTGAGAATAATTGTGTTGTAAAGTTAAGTTGGAGATGTGTTCATTTATATTTTCAAAGTTATTTTTAATTTCCTCATGGTTTAAGATCATTGTTGTTTGGTTGCAACATAGCATAGATCTCTTGGTATATTTCTGCAGATCTCTGGTTTTTCATGATAGCTAAAAATCAGGATTTTCCTTTCTCTGCAGTCAGTTTTAGTCACAGTTGACTTAGTATATGTAATCCAGAAAGGTCAATTCTTTTTTTTTTAGAGTTTATAATTCTCACTTTGTAGAAAGCCCAAAATGTTTTCTTTCTTTTTTGTCACAGCTGTTCTTTCTTATTAAGACATTGAAGGTCACCAAAACCACGTTATCTTTTCCTGGGCTTTGCCAGTCCCTGTAATAAAGCAATTTCTGTTGTATATTTTTATCCACCGCTAGATGTCAGCACCAGTCAGTAATAGACAATTGCTTACTTTTATTCTCATGATTTAAAAGGAAAATCTTAACGGATTCCACCAATTTCAAACTTATCCAAATTAAGTCATATTCACTTCATTTCAGTATATTTCTGTTCCCCCTGAAAAGTTTAATTTGCCACTTCCATCTGTAGGAGGGTGGGGCAAAGATTCCCCCCCCTTCTCACTTTCGGAGGCTTTTTGCTTCTTGGGGTTTTTTTTTTTCTTTTTTCCCATGAAATCAATTTTCAAGTAGAAGAGAGAAAATCACTGTTCTTACCCAGTTCCAAACATTTTGTTTACAGTCAGCTTAAAGTAGTGCTTTTGGGCTTTGGCTGCTTATAGCTTGGGCTAGACTCTGAAGTTAAGCTAGTCTTTCTCCTGCTGGTTTCTGGAGGGCTTTTCCCAAACTGATTGGATCGACCACTGTCTCTCCACAACCAGCGGGACTTCCTTCCTTCTTTGTTGCCTCTATGGCAGAGGTTCCCAACTTTTTGGGCATCAGGGACCAGTTACAGATTTTTCCGTGGACTGGAGTTGGCATGGTTTTGTGTGCTGCCTACATCCTGCAGATGGGGCTTTGCTTGTTTGTGCGGACCAGTTTCTGGCATGCTGCAGCCTGGTACTGGTCCATGGACCAGGGGTTGGGGACCCCTGCTCTACAGGGCAACTTCAGGCCCATTTAGGGTCCCCTAGCAGGTAGAAATTGGCCGTAGGGTACAGAGCGCCACAATCCCTTGGCTGCTGTGCTATTGTGCAAAACCGGAAGCCTGAAATTGAAAGGCTGTTTTTATTGTAACAATTACTTAAACATTTTTGATGCAAGTATGAATTATAAGTACATACCATATCTTTGAGTATTCATTTATTACATTTATATTTTCTTTGTTAGAGTAGCAGCTTGGTTTCATGATAATCATGCAAGATAGATTATGTGTGTGGGGGGGGGAATTCCACCCTCAACCTACTATTTATTTCATGATTGCTAGTTATTTGTTTCTGAATATAGAAAGCTCAAATAATAGAAATTTGAACTGGCTAGGAAAAGTAGACTTCTTACACTTACCTGTTTTGATGAAGTGATTGCAGCTATATGGTCATCATCTGAGAATCAGTGTGAGAAACATCACTGAAGCTGCCTAATATGTTAATTCTAAGGGAAGAAAATATAACTCTATATAGCTTTCAGTAAATTATGGTTCTTCTGAGTTTTCTCCTTTTTTTCTTTTTTTCTCTTTTAGCAACAAGGAAGCAGTGAAAAAAAAGTTTATTAAAGTCAGTTGCATCAAGCACTACCTTTCCCATAGTCTTCCAACAGACATTTGAATTGATAATAGCATAGCAAAACACATAAGATCCTTACAGTAGTAACCTGAATATTCTTTTTATTCTATATTATTCTTTTGCTGTCTTTTTAAAATATAAACTTAAAAGCATAATTATTTTTTATTGATCTATAGACAAAACTGGGATTCTTTCAGTTTAAAGTGTGGGCTGCAAATTAAATGTACAAATTAATAAGTATATCCATCTTTTAAAATATAGCACAACTAAATGAGTTAGATTTTTTCTTAAGCTGGGCCAAGTGATAGTCCTTTTCTTCCTTTTTGCTGACTAGAAAAAAAAAATCCTGGGTTCACACTATAATGTAATTGGGTTGATTTTGGCAGCAGGTAATGAAGTCATTGAAGCTTAGCATTATGTAGAATCCAAGCCACAATAGTTTATACAATAAACATGATTAAATCCTCATGTAGTAAATGCAGTTGGGAAGAATGGTTTGGTTCACATTCAACATTAAGCCTTAAATTCTATAAATAGGCCAATGATTAAGTTTTATCCATTACACTAAACCAAAACTACTCAAACATTATGGCTTAATATATGAACACACCCAATGTGAATCTGCCTAAACAAAATATATTCTTTCCAACGGAACCCTACTTAATTAAACTAGTACAAAGTACTTGAAAGAAATTGCTTTGCCTTTCTTTCCAGGAAGGGTTAGTGCAGAATTAGTTTCTAGAGGCTGAAGCAGAAGCAGAAAAGGGTTTTATACAGCTGAGGACAATACATTTAGTTGACAGCATTTTACAGCATTGTTATATTTGTAAAAGTAGAACTATTTAGGTTGAGTGAATGACTCTAAATAGTTCTTAGTGTTTTCCTGTAGTTAGCATTCACAGTGTTTTATTATCAGAACCACTTTAAGCATCTATAACATTTCATTTTAAAATTAATGTACAGAAATAAAGTATTGCTAATTGCAAATTCCAGAAGCCTAGCAATTATATAGGATTTCGAAGATACTTGGTACAATAGAATGTTTTTCCAATCCCTTTAGAGTTCTTTTGGGTGAAGTTTATGAGGGTTGTTAAATGTAGTTAGCACTGGTAAAATTTGGAAATTCAAAATTAGCTTTAGAAAAGCTAAACAAATAAAAATATGAAGCAGCAGATTAATACTTTTTGCTAACAAATTAGAAACTTTTGTATATTTATTTTTTTTTTCCTTTCACAGGAACTGGACATCTGAACTACAGTACTGCAGTAGATAACAAGTTTAATTTTAGAAGTAACTGTTTGCATTAAATAATGCTATCAAGAATTGAAATGGAAAAACTTTTCTTGATAAAGATAATTTTATTTTTAGTAGTATAATGTTTCAGGTCTTTTCTACAGTTTTAAGAATGCTTTTCAAAAATAGCTTTCAACTGAACATTGTAGGATTATTATTTTGTTCCTCGTAAAGAGAAGTCTGAGGAAAAAATCCCACCTGAAGGAAATCTTTATTTATTATCATTTTTCCTCTAAGCATGATTTTGTTGCTAGTTGTTATACATAAATTTATATGTTTAAAGTTTATTGCTTATATAATAAACAAACAAAATAATTACTTACAGCCTCTGATATACGAAGCCATATTTTGCCTTTCCTAAAATGTTCCATAGCATTATAGAAAAGGTGTACCTTTGGGTTCATGTACTTCTGATCTAATATGATAGGATCTTTAAGCATCCTCTCATCTACATACACAGGACAAGCAGATTCCATATGCAAAAGATAGTCCCTGAGGTATTCTGGTGCTGAGTCCTATAAGATTTTATAGATCAAAACCAGCATTCCAGATTGAACTAGAAAACCCATTAATAGCTTCTATAATTACAGGATAGGTATTACATATAATGGCAATTTTTATCTGTCAACATTCTGATTGCCATATTTAATATCATTTCTATCTTCCAGGTCATTTTCAAAGGTAATTCTGTAGAATGTGTTATATACTCTAACACAGGTAGTCATTCTTCAAAGAAAACATATTGTTGTGCTGCTCATCTGTGAACACAGAGGTCGCTTTGCAATCTCATTCTGGAAGCCCAGAGTCTAGCACAATGGGAGCATCAGACATTCATTGTTACAATAATTGTGGGTGTTATTCTGGGATTCCATTCATAATTTTCTATCAGTTTTTGGAAGACTGTCTTCAAAACTGGTATAGGCTTTGTGACACAGTATTTGTCAGTGGGTTCTGTCAGCAGCCGCAGCTTTTATTTCTCTTGGCTGAATGTCACAGTTGCATAGGGTTTCATTCACAACATCTTTGTAGCACTTGTGTGGATGACCTTGAAGTCTCTTTCGGTCTCCAGTTCACCACAGAGCAACTGGTGAGGCATACAGGGGCCTTTCATTCTTATAGTGTATCCCAGATGTCTCACCATGTGGTAAAAGTGGATGAGTTATCTCCAGGGCTTCAATGAAATTGCAGCACCAACCTATGCTGGAGGAAGATTTCCCAAGTCATATCTATTTACTGACTATTCCTATTCTATGGTATTGGACTAACCAAGGATCAGATTACATTTCTCTCACAGTTTCTGCTTCCTATATAAGACAGTGCTTCAAGCAGTCAGTGGAATCAGTACAACCATAGTGCCTCCAATTTTTGGATGTCATAGTCAGTGGCATCAAAACTGCTGAGAGATGTACAATAACATCAAGGAAGAGACACTGGTCCTTCAGGTATTGACAAAAGTCATTCAATAGAGTGACCAGTGCTCTTTCTGACTTATGCCTAAGCCTTAATTTAGAATGGAAAGGAGCAAGATAATCCATTTCAAGGTAAGATAGACTGCTGTTGCTTTCAAGGCCAGTGGCATCAAACACATAATTTACCTCTTTAATGTAGCCATTCATATTCTTTCTACATTTCTGAAGAAACAAAAAATGTGAATCTAGCCTGAAGCTCATACTGCTGTGTTTATACACAGGGGCTTTTGTGGACACCAGCTATATGGAATAGGCACATAAGTCGCAGATCTTCTAAGTGACATTGCTAACTTGTGGGTGACTGTGTAAAAATCTCATTACTGTCTACTTGAAGGAAAGATTTGATATCTCTCTAAATATTTCAAATAGAATATTAAAAATATATACAAATAACAGTTAAAATAGTTTATTTGCATTGTCACCAGAAGACAGGATTATCCTTCAACCATGTCCTGCTCCTTTGTGTTTTTCCAAATTCAATACTAGTTATGAGTATTACATTCAAAATATATTAATGATTTAATATATGTACAAGTAAACATGATTTTTAAAATATATTTTTTAAAATAATTTTATTAAAACCACTTTCTATAGGGTAGGAAGCATCTGTTACAATAAATCAGCGTATTTATCATGTTAGGCTTCTACTTGAGAGGCTAAGCTGAAATCAAATACAGAAGAATCCAAATAATAATTTATTGTAGCAAACCTAAAACTCATTATGAAAGAATTGAAGCAGGCAGTGAACATCTAATACAAGTTCTGTCTATAATAATGCTCAACTTTTTTGCATCTTTTTTGAATAGGAAAGTATATTTTAATTATGGTAAATGTAGTGCCAGGATAGTTTACTTTTGCACGTGAGAACTATCATAGCTCAAAGGAATAGTCTAATTTCCTTTCACATCTCAATACTTTGATCAGATATGTCTAAACATAACAAGGGTTCACTTATATTTTCCTGTTTTTGTCCTAAACATTGGTCTTGAGGCACCTGTTTGGTTATATAGTGTTACTGCTATGCACTCCTAGAATGGCACTGAAAAGTTATTTTTGAAGATTGCAGGTGCTTCTCTTCCATGAGTATTGTGGCTGTCAGAAGTACAGCACCAGACTGTCTCAAATCCCATGTTTATTTTCTCTTAATTAGTGGCTGATAAAAACAAAGTTGTGCGTTATCACGTTTTTATTGCATAATAAATTAACCTATAAGTACTTTTTTTAGTAAGTAGGGAAGCTCAGTGCTTTTGTAAGTCATGATTTTCCATTCCATTGCCATACGCTAAATAAATTCCATTATTTTTTATTATTATTAGATTTTTGTCCCACTTTATCTACTATTGGAAGGTGCTGAACTTTTGTAATATTTTTGTCTCTTCCCCACAACAGCTGTCTGAGGTGGGTTGGGCTGAGAGAGAGTGACTGGCCCAAAGATGTATATTGTCCATTATAGAAACTTTGATAAGAAAATGTAAAGAAACAAAGAAATAACTTGTTGAAGGAATGGATGGATGAATTGCCTGGCTGAGGAATTCTGGAAGTCCACAAGTCATAAAAGGGCCAAGTCTGAAGACCCTTGGTTTAGCCTCTGAAGGAGAAACTTAACCTGATGTATATGCTGATTTACTGTAACAGTTCTTAGTCTATCCTTTACCAGTACTTTCGATTCCTCATTATTTACAGATGATATTTCTGCCTAGCTCTGATTCTAACTATAGTAACTTCAGTCGGTCTCCAACAAGAATCCTACCATCCGTTCCTTTTACTTGGTGGTCTATGATTTTTGCATGTAAAACAAAAGGTTCTGAACTGAAATATGGCTGTTAGAATACATTATTTTTTAGTGTTTTGAACAACAGAGACTGAGTACATGCTCAGGAGGACAGACATCAGGCGTGAGTGGGGTCTTTGATAACTAAGGAAAGGGGGCAATGGCAACTTGGGATGTATGTGGTTAGTGATGGGAAAATAATGCTGATAGACAATAGCAGATAGTCAGGTGTGAATTCCTACTTATGACATTGGGCCTTAGCAATAAATTAGGAGTTCTGCTACTGTATCAGCCTCCCTGACTGCTCTGCCTGAGCATATCTTCAGGCTAGTGGTGAAGTTCTTTGGAGGCAGTGCAGAAGTATCTCAGGCTCAACTGACACTTGTTCCAGGTTTTTGTCTCGGGGCATGATCTGGAGTTGGGGGATGTTGCTTTCTGGAGTTTACTTTAGCAATCCGCTCCCACTTGCAGGGAAATGTTGGCAATCCAAGTTAACATTGGTATTCTTGAATTGTGAGTGCTTAGGAAAGTATCCCCTCCTTGTATGTTGCTAACAGCCATTTCCAGTGGGGAAAACAGGACAAAGCAGAGTGGGGAAAAATATTTTCCTTTGCTATATTTCCAGGGTCCCTACAAGAGAGCCCTTTTAAGGATTATGTATTAATAGAGTAGCAACTAAGCTACCTCTGTTCCTAAATGCTAAAGCTGTTGCACATAAAAAATGCTGATCAACTATCACAGCCACAGCAAGTTGACAGTTTTGCTGTACTGTTGCCTGTGGATGGCTCCACTAAATGCAAACACAGGATAAACTGAGCCTGGTTTGTTCTTAATCTTTTAAGTGGCCACAAACTACTAGCAAAAGTGGCATTTGATCACAAGGCAAGGAGGCATCGAGAAATGTTTCCCCTTTTGCATTTGAGCATCCAAGAAGGGACAGGAAAGGAGAAAGAGGAAAGACAAAGAAAAGGAAAGGGGAAGAGAGCAAGGAAGGAAAAAAGGAAAGAAGGGAAGGAAGAAAAAGGGAAGGAGAATGAAGAGGGAAAGAAAAGGGGGAAGGAAGGAAAGGAAGGAAGTTAGATTATAATGAGAGGGAGGGAGGGTCTGAGGGAAGTCCTGCCATAGTAGTTGGCCACGACCAGCCCTGCTGTCCTTTTGCCATTCCCTTGTCCCCTCCTCCTGACTCTCCTGGTGGTCTCCCATCCTATCGCTGAGGATGCTTTGGTTACAAAGCCGGGTCTCCTCGCATGGAGAGGGAGTGGGCCTCCCTCTGACCCACACATTTTGCCCTCCTGCACACACCATGAGCCTGCACCACCAGGGGTCCTCCACGTGGCCCATGAGCAAAGGAACCACCACCGAAGAAATTAAAACCAATACTTTTTTCCTTTTTTTTTAACGGTTTGTAACATTTTATTAGATTATGGAATAAAATACAAAAGCAAGTAGGACACAGTGGAGAGGAAGAAGGGGGGGAAGTGAGGGGGAGAAGGGGAAAAGGCATTGGCTTTCAACTTCCTCTATTGCAGTAGAATGAAACATTAACATCGAACCTCAACTTTTTACTTTTCCATAATAGTACTGTATAAACTAGCCATTTTTATAACAACAAATGAATCTAACCAGTAAAACCCAAAATCTCACCCCTTTTTTTTCAGTCATCAATTTTTTGACACCTTACTAAGCACTGGTGGTACTCGAATATTGTCATGTCCTAAAATTGGTATAATCTGAAAAGGTTGAAAAGCCCTGGCCTAGAGCACTGCTGGCAAAAAACTTGGAGCAAACCTAATTGGATAAAGGTAGCAGCTTTAATTAGAGCCTATCTATCCTATTTCAATATGGGCAGCAAAAAAGACTAATTACTCTGTCCTTATTTGGCAACCCAGTCCCTTTTGGGTCAGAAGGGATTGACAGAACATTTGTGAGGTTGTATGGACTATTGGCATTCAGTGAATAAAATCACTTGGATTCACTGTTAGACTCCAGCTGAGTAGGTTCTTTGGAGAACAGTGATGCATATTCATGTGATGTTATCCAGGCTGAGTTCAAGCATGTTAATCCCAAGGAAGTGAACAGGATCCTCAAGAGTTGTAAGTATGATTCCCTGTATATTGTATCCTTCTGATTAGTTAACATAAGTGGATCCACATGTCAGTAAATTCCTCTTGGAAAGGGGACAGTTCCATCTGCTCTTCAAGACACATCTTTGGATCCAAACAATCTGGATAATTTTTGACCAGTCAGCACCCTTCCCTTTTAGGGAAAGTTGTTGAGAAAGTGGTTGGCTTCCAGCTTCATAGGATCCATAAGAAGTACATTATATGGAACCTTTCCAATTGGAATTCAGATTGGGATGGCTTGGTCACACTTCTTGACTATGTGGCGAGTATGTGATGGGCTGGCACATCCTGGATCTCTCAGTGGCCTTCTGTACCATCACCATGGTGTCCTGGCTGATAAGGCTGGGAGAGAGGGGCACCATTTGGCAGTGTTCTTCCAAAACTAATTTCATTCAGTGTTGATGGAAGAGATTTGATTGAGCTCTAGGCCTCTGCTTTGCAGGAAGCCTCAGAACTTATCCTTTTCCTCCTTTTTCATTATTTACACCAACCCATGGGTGAGTCATCTGTTGGTACAAAGTATCACTGATATGCTAATAATGCCCAGTTGTATACTTCAGCCCTCAGCCATACAAAGGTTGTTGAGGTTCTGTCCCAGTGTCTAGATATTGTGAAGATCTGGATGGAGAATAGGTTGTATCTCATCCCTGCCAAGTTGTTTGATGTCCATCTTTGATTCTGGACAGGATAGCATTGCCCTGTTTAGTCTTTAGATCTTGGGGTCCTGGAGTCACAGCTCCTGCTTGAATAGTAGTGGCAACAGTAGTCAGGAGGACTCTGGCTCCGCATTGTTTTATGCACTAAAATTGTTCCCCTTCCTGGACTGTTCATGATCACTCATGCCTTGGTGACAACCTGAATGGATTACTGCAACATATTCTACAAGTGGCTGCTTTCAAGACCATCTGGAAGCTGCAGCTGATTCAGAATGCAATTACAGGTACATCTTGGTATACCTACATTACACCATTGTTGCCATAATTACACCAACACTAAGCTGAAATAGCTGCCAGTGTGCTTCTGGGTAGAATTCAACACATTAGTTTTACCTATAAAGTCCTTGGCATAGGGGTGGGTTATTTATAGGATTTCTTTTCAGTTGTTGGACTGAAAGAGATGGGTAGGAACAAGAAGGGTGTGCATCAGCCCCTGAAAAGAATATCATCTTATGGAACCTCACCCTTTCTGACCCAGTGCCTGTCCTCTGATACACTATAAGCCCCAAGATCTGATTGGCCCCGACCCTACCAGCTTCTCATAGAGATCTGGATTGCTCCAAGGCCTGGGGCTCAGAAGACCATTGAGTGGTCATTCTTGATTGATTGTGCGGGTTTACACTCAATGATCACTGTAGGTTTTTAGTCTTTGTTAAAATTGCTTTTTATTCCTTTAACCAACGTGCCCTGAATCGCATTCGCGAGAGGGGCGGCCACATGAATCGATTGAATAAAAATCACAGTGAGCAACGCTTTCTCCCGGGTACCGCCGGATGCCCGAAGATCGGCCACGGCGGGGCATTCTCGTGCCTTTGCCCTGCTTGTCAGGGCACTGCCAGTCAGAGTCGAGTGGGTAGCTGAGCGCCAGTTCCCTTTGTAGTTCCACTTCCTACCTTGCCGCACGAAGGGTCTCGAGAAGGGCGACACCCACCCATTCAACCACCCCATTCCCTTGCAGCGAACCGCTCCCGCCGCCCCTTTGCTTGCGTTCCCGCCCTAACGCGCGCGCGCACTCTCCCTCGCTGCTTCCCTGGCTCGCAGTTCCAGGTGGGATCGTTTCCCCCCCCTTTTCCTTTACGTTTCTCGCTGGCGCGTCAAGTGCTTTGTCGTCGTCCCCTGTTCTTTTTTTCTGTCAAGAAAAAAGTCCCCCCCCTTCCTCTTTTCTTCGGAGGGCGGGAGAGTTTCAGAGCAGGAAATAAAATATAACAGTGCTGCTGTTGTTGCAATGGGCACTGACTAGTCGAAAGGAAGCGAAGAAGACGTTGCTCTTTCTGCAATCGGAGAAAAGAAGCTTCCTGTAATTCATCTGACTCCATCGGCTCGGTTGCCTTTCACCGCCTCGCAAACCTCAAACTTTCACCCTGTCTGGAGGAGTCCAAGCTCGACATAAATGGGTAAGTGTGAACGTAGACATAGCTTGGGGTATGTGCCTGTCTTCCTCCCCCCCCCTCTTTTTTTTTTTTTTTTGCTATCTGAGACTTGCTGCGTGGCTGATCGCGAGGCAGGCCGAACCGGGTGGTCGCTATTGCTATTCGTCTCTTGTGGCATATTATAATAGTAATGGCAAGTATCGTGAGGCGGAGTAGGACACATCCGAAGGGTGTGTCTTGTCTATCTCACTCTGTCCGTTTGGGGAAGGGGAGAAGGGGCAACGTCAGGTCTGTTTTCCCACCCACCCCTAGAGATCTTTAATTGTCTGGTCTGCGCGGTGACTCTCTGGCCGGGGCGCTTGGAGGTGTAGGGGTGGCTGCTGGAAAGGCTTGAATGAAAGCCGGGAGGCCAAATCCATCTCTTGTTATCACGCGCTGTCAAAAAAGCACCACCACCCATCCATAAACGGGGGATAGGGAGGGAATCCCTTCCGTGGCGTTGCCTTTGCACCACGCGGCGTGGCTGCCATAGCGCCACAGACGGAAGACGGCTAGTTGGGGGTGGGGGGAGCAAGATGATGAAGTAGTAGAGAAAAGATGCCGGGGCCTGGAGCTCGCGAGCGAGCCGCCCTCTCTGGTATCCGGGGAGGGAGCGCTTTTCTTGTCAGTGGTGCGCGAGCGGGCAGGCCAATGCAGAAATTAGCCTCCGTAATATGGCAGGAAATCGGAGGGGCGTGTTACCCATTTGACTTCTCTCTCTCTCTCTCTCTCTCAATCTCTCGAATGGGAACTGTGGGCTTTTCCTCCCGCCCCCTGTTCCCGACACCGCATGAAATGTCTAGTTGGCTGCTTTAAACAACATCTCCCTTCCTCTCCCTTGTAGAGACGCCTAAAGGGGAATTAGGAATCCGCAACTTTGCTATAGCTTTCTTTGCGTGCCTACCTGAATCTGCTCCTGGATGGAGTGGCAAGCTTTTGGAAAAGGCCACAGCTGTTGACCCTTATTGATCTTGGCAGCCAGTCATCAAGATGTTGTTTGAAACAGACTCACAGACTGTCTTTCAAACTGTGACTGGATCATTAGAGCATTGGTGCTCTGGAATGTCTCTTCTCCCTCTTTTTTCTTCTCCATCAAAATTCTAGTTTATAATCTAATAGACATACTTGGTGAAAAAGATGTCTATTCAGAGAAGAGCAACAAAAAGGTAGTATTAAATTAATTTGGGACTTCTTGTATACTAACGTCTTCAGGAACTTGGATGCAGAAAAGGTATGAGATTTGTTTGAGATCTTTTTTGTGGCATGTTAGCAAAATTAAGGCATGATTCAACTATTTATATTGTTATTAGGGTTCAAGAGAGGCAGAAGTAGCAGTGCCAGGCACTAGCTATCTGAAGGGCAAGGAGCCTGTTTCCTCCTGAAGAAGGGACTGCATTCACTCATTCTGCTTAGGTTTTTTGTAAATACAATGACTCTCTGTGCAGCAAATATTCATACTGTTGGAAAGTAGAGTGTGCAGCTCTCTTGAAATAGTACAGTCAACTGATTACAGGATTTTTTTGGTTATGTGCACTAATTGTGCAGAATAAAATATTTCTAGAATTTCAAAGATAAAATATCTGTTTATTTTGGGGAATTATCAAGTATCATGTAAATGAGAAGGGAAGATGCTTAGGGGAAGAAGTTTTTCATGTTTTTTAAAAAAAGTTTTCAACTATCCAGATTTATATATGCATTTTATTTCTTATGTCCTTTCATTTGCCTCTGTTTTTCACTGCTGAGCTTTAGATGATTCTGTGATAAATATTCATCCACTGTGCTGTTACTGTATTTAAAATTTAGTTGGTTCAGTTAAAAGGACAAAGTCTTGCAAAGCTTTAATATGCAGCTTTACAGAATGTGGCTAAATTTTTGTATTGTTCTAAACCATAATGTGGTTTATTTGATTGTAACAAATTATTATGTGAACTGATTTTCTAATTTTTAAACCATTATTTTTAACTTCATATGTTGTATAAAGCAAGACAAAATATATTTAAAATAAATATTTAGCATAACAAAGTAATGTGTATGCAATACACATTATTTGTATGTGATACAAATTTTCCCTGTGTAGTTAGTATGAAAAGAGAAACATGAAATACACCTTCTAATATTCTAATATTCTGCTGCATAGTTTCATTTGTGGACTTAGAATCATTCTTCATCAGAACTACACTCTCCTTGGTATTTTATATTATGTAGTTGGATGCATGATGGGTGAAATTTATGTTTTTTATTGATTGGTCATGAATAGACTATCATGACATTTGTTATAAATTTGTATTTATTACTGAGTGTATTTTTTTACTTTTTTATTTTATTGCTAATCACCCAGAGTTCTTTGAACTGTGTGATATGTAAGTATTATTAAATAAATTTGTATGCAATACTCACACAGGGGCCTTCTTAAATGTGGTTTCTCACTAAGTTCCAACCATCTTAAACCAGAATTTCAGCCTAATAATTTGTCTAAGACCCACTTCTGTATCCATGCTTTTGCTTTCTTTTGATGTGTTCGACTTGAATATGTACAACTTCTTAGCGTTCTTTTAAATATTTGGGCTTAATATGTTGATCGTTTGTAGACTACTCTCTTGTTATAATTCATACATAATAATCTTGGTCCTCAGACTATGAAGTTTACAAAGGTTCTGTAAACTTTTTATACACTGTAAATTTTCTTCAAATATATTGACCACTCTCTTAGAAATATGAATCTGAACTCTAAGAATATGAGTACGATTGAAGAATACATCTCACATCTTGATCCCAGTTTCATTGCATGAAAGAAAATACAATATAGCTAGTCCTTGATTTATGACCATAATTGAGCCCAACTGAAAGCTCCAAATGTCTGTTACTAAGTGAATTGCACATGATTTTACAACCTTTTTTTTACCACAGTTAAAGAAATCATTGCAGTTGTTAAGTGAATCATGTGCTCATTAAGTGAATCTGGCTTCCTCCATTGACTTTGTGAGAAGCTGGCTGGAAAGATTAGAAATGGTGATCATATAACCCCACAATACTGCAACTATTGTAAATAACATGCTAGTTGCCAAATGCCCAAATTTTGATCATGTGACCCTGGGGATGTTGCAACAGTTGTAAGCGAAAAATGGTCATAAGTCACTTTTTTAATGATGTTATAACTTCAAACAACCACTATAATGGCTGTAAAATGAGCTACCTGTAGTACTTAATAGGTAAATGTTATTAGGTAGTCATTGACAGAAAAATTTCTCACATACCAATAGAACATACAACCTATATTTAGATTTTTAAAAAATCAATATATGTATAGGTATAATGAAGTGTGGACCCCATAACCCTAAAATTGGAAAAAGCTGTAACAAGAGAAGTACATTTTTCATGCACATAATGTGTCTCTAATAGTTATGGCATAACTTTTCCTTTCTAAAATTGTATTTAGATTACAAAATAAATTTCCTGCCATTGCATACATTTTTATCTTTGATTTACATCTTAAGTGCAATCTGATGTGCTATTTATTTTTGCTATGGGCTGGGAACATATAACACATATATGTCACAGTATTCTTGATTTTGATTTTGGTGGCGCAATGGCTCAGTGGTTAAGGTTCAAGACCCAGTGCCGCACAACGAGATGAGCTTTCGTCTTTGCCCCAGCTCCTGCCAACCTAGCAGTTTGAAAGCATACAAATGCAAATAGATAAATAGGTACCACTTTGGTAGGAAGGTAACAGCACTCTGTGACATCATGCTGGCCATGGAAGTGTCTTTGCATAGTGCGGGCTCAATGGTCTTGAAACGGAGATGAGCATCCATAGTTGTCAGTGACTAGTGGAGTAAAATCTGCAAAGACCCCCTTTTTAAATGTTGATTTTATTGATTCTCATTCAGATGAAAAAATAATTTATTTTCAAGGTTCTAGGATGAATAAGAGTGACATTTTTACCTTAAAAATCTTAAGCATGATCTTTTGTATGTCTGATTTATTTCCTGTCTTTTCTTAAAATTATTTAGTAAGGAGGACCCAAATGGTTATCTTTTTTCAAGCAGCTTCTGCAAGATTGACAAGCACTGAACATCTACAAGTCAGATCAGATCAGACCTTGGGAGAAAGGGGATATAGTATAATATAGTCACTCAACTGGGAGAAATACAGAAATGACTCGCACAAAAGAATCAAGCTATTTGATTAGGAAAGACCAAAACAGAGACAACAATCCCCCCAAGTCTTACTTTCTAGCTAAGGCAGTGTTAGGAAAAGTTTTTGCCTAATCTCATAGGATGAACCTGAGTTTTATCAGAATCCATTTACATAGTCCATCCATTAACAATTCTAATGAGTGCAAACCTTTTCAAATTTAATGGCCTATATGTATTTTTCTAGAACCCGTGTTATTTTAAATAACATTAAAGCAGTTTAATATATTACTGTTTCCAATACTGGGAGTTTTCCTACTCTTGAGAGCCAGAGGATGTTCAAAACATAGGAAATGTATGCAGGAGGTCAGGAAGGTGGATCTTGTTTAAGAAAACTAGGCCAGTATAGTAGTCCTTATCATTTGCTTTTACATTAAAGATACTGTACATATAAAATTAGTTTTGATTACTTGGATTCAGTACTGGGTCTTTGTGTAATATATATAATTTTAAGTTAGCTTGGAAGAAAGGATTTGCTTTACAAAAATACTAGATTTTGTTTGGGGAAAGAAATGGAAAATTTGAATTAACAGTTGTTGGGGGTACTATTCAGCATGTCCAGGTACTTGGTTGAAATAGTGTCAGAGCAAATATTCTGCTACTAGGATAAATCCAGAAATATAGTTTGATACTTGAATTCATTTGGACAACAAAATTGATACTCTTTAGAGTCGATTTCTTCACCATACGCAGGATTGATTGTTTAGTCCATACTGAAGATGTATAACAGATTTTGGTTGTGTTTTGAGGTGCTGAATCACAACTTAGGTAGTGTTAAAATAATTATTTTAC